TCAAATCCCAGTACCATATTAATCTTCATATGGTCTACTCTTGTCGGAGCCTGCCGACGAGTCGAACGGTTCTGAAAGGGGGAGTGAGGATTAAGGAAAAAAGAGAGAGACAAAGTATTGGGAGGGCAACAGTGAATACTGAAGCCCCGAGTTTATTCTACAGCTTCCTTTTATACATGCAGAAACTACCCAGGGGTTACAATTAGTCTATTATCACAATATATCAGCAACTCTATATTCTGCCAAGTCAAGGAGTCTTTGATAAAAATTAAACATTTTGTTTTCCCAGAACTTGCATACATCTTTGTTCTTTATTTTAGTCTCAATGTCAACCCACAGTAGCAAACAGCAGATACTGACACCTGGGTCAGGATATCTCAGCCGTTTCAAGGCTGAGTCTTAATGGCCTTCAACATACTCTCTCTTGAGTATTTGCTCAGCATACACATAAAATCAGTGTAGCGAAAGAGTACAAGGCTGGCACACACCTTTCCTGATTTTAAAATGCCTGGCTTCTCTTTGTTCTGTTTGGCCTCTTGGTCTACGTATCGGTTCCTCGGGAGCACAATTAAGTGTTCTGAAATTTCCACTCATTGTAATGTTATTCATAATTTATTATGATCCACCCAGTTACATACTTGGTAACTGAAAGACAGTCAAGAAAACACAGATAAACAGCTGTCTGGTATTCGCTACGTTAGCCACCATCCACCTAACGTCAGCAGTGATAGCCCTCTTTCCACGGACTTCGCTGCACCGGGCTTGAATTTCTGGCAGTCCCTTTTTGATGTACTGCTGCTCCTATTTTTTTGTTTTTGTAAATTATTTTCAGCAAAGTTGTATTTGCATATGATGGTATTGGTATGTAAAAAAACAACATCTGCGTTTCTTTGGAATGGGGACAAATATAGATTTCTTCTAGTCATTTGGCCAGGTAGTTGTCATTCAAGTGTCTTAGCATAGATGTGTGAAGGTTAGGGTGGAGTCCACCCTATCAACTAGGTCACAGCCCGATGATGCCTCCTTGGGGGGTGTGGTCTTTTTCTAAGAGAGATACTGAGAACTTCGCTCTCTTGCCCCTCTTCACCTTTCTGCTTGCCTGTGTTGTATGTCTGTGGATCCTGGGAGCTGTGGAGTCCTGCCATGTTCCTATGGATCTAGGACCCAGGTGACTCTTCACCCACCTGTCTGTGATCTCCGAGTTTCCTGCTTCACCTTCTTGCTTCATCAGCCTGCAGCCTTGTGAGCCTGAAAGCCGCTCCTGCTAGCATCTAACCCATGGACTTAAGTTGAACGGGGCTAGGTTGTGTCCTTGATATAAAATTCTTCCTTGAGATGAAGTTATTTTGTATATTTATATATGTCGCTGGTTTTGTTTTTCTGGAAAACTCAGTCTAACCTAGTGATTGAGTGATTATAGTGTGGCTTCTGTTTCTGGAAAAATCTCAGTGGTATTTTGTCAATTCCTGCAGGGTTGTTTTTGCCAGTGTTTTCAAAGCAATTTGAATCTTTGCCTTCAAGACTGTTGATTCTTGCTGGGTTGTTAAACCTTTTTACCCATAGACTCCTTCAATATTGTTGCTCAGAGCCTGATGTTTTTATACTTAATTCTTTCAGCTTGAGAAAAGCTGAACGTGTTCTTTCTTTTTAGTTTTATAACTTCAAGTGTTTGCACATTTAATCTTATTTTAATACATTCTTGATGTTAGGTTCCATCGTGCCAATTTTTGACCCCTTGACAACAGAGTAGAATAGCCCGCAGGGCTTCCTAGGCTGAAATCTTGTAAAATGGGTGCAGATCAACATGTATCCCTTCCCTGGAGCTTCTGGGTGGGTTTGAACCTCCAACTTTTCGGTTATGAGTTGAGCATTTCCCCATTGTACCACCAGGGCTCCAATGATGAGTGAATGGATTCAAATAATATAAAATAAAAGAACAATGACATTTAATTCATAACAGGTTGGGGTTTATTCTGCCATTTGTTGATCTGTTTTTGTAACTGGACACAAACTGAAGTAATACCAGGCACTGCAAGATATAGGTAGAGATATGTAAACAGAAATGCCATGCTGGTGTGAAGTCGTTTCTCTTCCTCTCTATGCAAACTTATTTCTCTCCATTAGTGACATGAGCTATATTAACAAGCTTGCCAGGTCCACATGCCATGCCATATGTGGAGGTGGGAATAGTGCCTCCGGCACTTGCTGAGCCCCTTGTGAGTCATCTTGGCGTGGTTGGCTATGGCTAACTGCTGTGCCATGCCTATTTCACAAGGGGCAGCTGGTGATTGCAACCATGCTGTCCATAAAGTTTGCAGGGCGAGGAAGACCGTCGTCTGACCAGAGTCAGACAGTGTTCAGTGCCCCCTATGAAAGGCCAGTTTTTATTATTCTGCTCTATAGTCAGCATGCATTGTTTTTAAGTGTTTTGGGAAAGCACAAGGGTGGCCTTTTTGGCAAATCAAAGACTAATAAGATTGGGCCACTCTGTTCCAAGCCTGGGCAACTTCAAACCGGGGTGTTAGGGACTTAGAACAACCTGTACAACATCACTATCACTGGGTCTGCTTAAGTGCAGGAACCAGCTACCGCCCCCTCTCATTCATCCTCCCACACATGGAAAACCATCAACTCAACTCACCCCAACATAGAAGAGCGCTCAAAGACCTCCTGGGATGACACAGTGAGAAGGGTGTGTAGGTGGGTGTAGGAACTGTACCTCGATTAGACCCTGAGGGAGAAGTCAAGCGAAGACGAACACAAACAGAAAAATGAGGGCCCAAAGTGCTTTTCAGCTCTGATTAAAATCAGCAGGCATGTCTACTCATTTTACAGCCCCTCCACTGGGGGATCAATCTCCCAGTGCAGCTAGCAGCCCACACCACTGATGACCTCCCCCTTTGGGTTTGATGGTCTAGGTCGATGTTGGAGTTCAAATTAAAAGCACCAAGCCACTATTATGGCTCATTGTGGAGTGGTCAGGATTAGGGCTGGGAATTGTGTAGACATGAACGAATCCTCTCAGGGGAGCTCCTTGGCATTACTACAGAGTGACTTCCAAAAGTTCATGGGGAAATGGAATGAAAAGATAATGGAATTTTCTTCCTTCCTTCCTTCCTTCTTTCTTTTTTCCAAGCAGAAATGAGAGTATATTTGGAAAGGAAAGCACCTGATGGAGGCAGCAGGTGGGGACTGCAGTGAGTTGCTGATCACAGAATTTTCCCACAAACTTTCTGCAGCCCTTTCATATAGTTTATGGAATCAGCAGTCACACTGGGCAGTTAGCCAAAAATAGGTTGGGTGTTGAGTCCCCCCAGAGGTACCTCACAAGAGGGGTCTGGGGATCTGCTTCAGAAAAATCAGTCATTGAAAGTCCCACGGAGCCCAGTTTTGCTCGGACACACATGGCATCACCATAAGTTGGGACCAAGTAGCTGACAAAGGCAGCGATGTTGAAAAGCAGAGTCTGGGATTTAGAGTCAATGATCGCTAGCATCTCTCCCAGTCTGCATCCACCTTATTCCGAGTCAGTCTTGAGCTCACTACTGGGCACCTGATCTGGCTGCAAAACGTTTCTGGGAAATTTTGCAGATCTTTCGAAGCCCTCTGCAAAAACCTGAAGGGACGTTGGGATTGAGAACTGACTGGACTAATTCCTTTCTAAAGTAGGGCAGATTGTTAGCAACTAATAAAACAAGTATTATGAACAAAGTTGCTAGCTGAAAGTTAGGAGGGCTTGAAGCACTTGCTGAGGAAGATCAAGGAGTGCAGCCTACAATTTGGATTACAATTTCATGTCAAGGGTACCCAAATCCTCACAAGCAGATCCATAGGTAACATCAATATAAATGAGGAGACAATTGAATTTGTCAAGGGTTTCATCTTGCTTGGATCTGCAATCAACGCTCAAGAAGCAGCAGTCAATGGATCAAATGATGTATTGTTATTAGTGCATCTGCTGCACAGGGCTCTTTTAGAGTATTGAACAGCAAGGCTGTTACTTTGAGGACTAAGGTGCGCCTGACCCAACCCGTGGCATTTTTAATTGCCTCCCATGCATGTGAATGTTGCACATTAAATCAGGAAGACTGAAGAAGGATTAATGCTTTGGAATCATGGGGCTGGAGTCGAATATTGAAAGTACCACGCACCGTCAAAAACAAACATCTGTCTTTTCAGAAGGACAACCAGAATGCTTCTTGCAAGTAACTTTAAGGTGAGACCTCATCTCACGTGTTTTGGACATGTTATCAGGAGAGCCCAACCCCTGGAAAAGAACATCGTGCTTGGTAACAAGGTGGGGCAGAGAAAAAGAGCCAGACTTCTGACATGATGGATTGACACAGCTACTGTAACCATCGACTCAAACATAACAATTGTGAGGACGGAGCAGCATCAGCCACTGTTTGGATCTCTGGGCATAAGGTCTCTGAGTTGGCACTGACTGGAAGGCACGAACAACAGTGCGACTGAAAGGAAGAAATGGTCATCATCTCATCAGTGTGCCTGGGCACAAACTTCCTGGGTATGCTCTCCAGGCCTGGTGTCCTTGTCTGAGATAATGAGCAAGAAGACCCTTGCTGTGAGCGATCAGGTAATGTTTTAACAAAAAACAGTGGGTGTGCGAACACACAAGGCGTACTGCAGGCTCAGCCCTAGGGAGGACAGCACAATTGTCTCCCTAGAACAGATACCATCGCAGTGAGGTGCTGCGGACAGAGAAGGGCCACAGCCCAAGACGGCGGGCAGGCGCCTGGGCCTCCCTTGCCCTCCCACCTCCCAGCTGGGTCCTCGCAGGCCCTTTGCTCCCGCTGGGTCCCGCCCCCTCCATCCTCCAAACCCGGGCGCGCGCGCTCCAGCTCCTGCTGATTGACAGCAGATCCCGCTACTCCCAGGAGCCCAGCCTTCGCTTAGCAACCCTCGCCGAGGTAACCGGTGGGCCTTAGCCAATGGGAGCCCAAGGGCGGAGCCAGCGGCGAGGAGGCGGAGCAGGTCAGGTGCTCTGCGCCGGCGGGGCTGCTACAGCCACCTTCTCTCCCTTCGTCCCCAGCACTTAAGGACCGACCGGATACCTACCAGGAGGGTAGGAGCAGAGCGGGGGGTGGGCGCCTGGATTTCGAGGGATCCTTGGGGGTCCCTTGAGCTACCGCGCCTCTTGCCCCTGCACACCTGCACCCAAACACCTGGTTGCTGCACCTGCCGGCCTCCGTGTGCGCGGTTTCTGGGAACTGCGCGCGCACCCACGGCCCAGCCCCTCCCCAGTGGCTAGGGTGGAATCCCGGAGAGAAGATGAGGCGGTGCACATTCTCCCCCGCCCCCCACCCTTAGTGACGTGCACTTGCTCCACGCAGAACCCTCTCCTTTGCTTTTCCTCGTCTGCCTTTTCCTCCAGGTTCCCAGGTCGGCCTGTGGGGTGAGGATCGAAGGGAGAAGTCGGAAAGCAGCCCGGTGACATCCGGGCGCGGACCTAGGGACGCACCCCCCTGCATCGTGCAGCCGCCTCCTCCCCTGCTGGAGACGGTAAAGTGGCTCTTCTTTCCAAGCACCCTGAAGCCTTTGATAACACTTAGCCTGTGTTGGCCTTCATTTGCCCCAGATACCTTTCTCTCTTACTCCAAACTGCTGACTTAATTAACGAAGGGGAGGGGCGGGAATCAAGTGTTCCATGCAGTTGATTTCTCTCCAACCTCAACTTACAGTTGGGCTATTTGCCCTCACTGTGTGAGGGAGGTTGGAGAGAGAACTGGCAGACGAGAGAAAAGAGAGAAGAACCCACTTGATGTGGTGGTAAATACATTTGTAATTTCCAATTGGAACTGGTTTTTGACTTTGCTTCCAGATTTGGCAAAATGATTGGCCTTTTAGAAATTTTAAGTGTAATTTTTGGATTTTTTTTTTGCCTCAAGACCAATACTTACAACAATGCAAGTCATGTATTGGTATGGTGAATCCAGTTGAAAAACAAACAAAAATAAAATGATTCCTCTCAAGGTCATCCACCAGAGTTGATACATAGTGTGTGCTTCTGAAGCCAAGCAAGTTTGTCAAGCATTTTTATTTACTCAGACAGGTAACATGCCACGTAGGGTCTGTGCCTGTCGGCAGGGAGGAGATGACGGTGAGTTTGGCGATACAAGAGTAAGTCATAACAGTTTGTGATTAAAAACATATTCAAATTAGGAGAGTTTAAAATTCCAATTCAGAGATCCCTTGACACAAAAGTTAGACCTAACTGGAGGATTTTAAAAACCTTATGCTAGAATGAACTAGTGTTCATTGTTAATGAACAAGAGAGTCAAAGAACAAAAGGTTCTTGTTTGAAGTACAAACCGGACTGAGAGACAAAATTTACCTATCCTTTATCCACACTGGTTAATAGCTTTCATAAGTAAAAGGTTTTTGAAATAAATGCATATTAACTTTTTTCCTTCAAAGATATTTAATCCTGGGAAGTGTTTTTTTCTACACATATCGCCATTAAGTTTAAATATTACCTAACTTTCAAATTAAGGAGGCTGTAAACTTTCAGAACTATATGTCTGTGTGTACTTGGCTAAGCACCTGCTTAGTTGAAAGGAGAGGTTGTGTTTTGGTTTGAGTAAATGAGTGGACATTATATTTCACTAATATAATGTTTAAGTGTCACAATGTTATTTCCATTCCAGAAGCCTATGTCCATATATGTTCTGTTTTGCTGGTGACATCTCTAACCACGAAGAACAGAACATAGAAGGGCTTGGCTTGGAAAACAGAAGTATATTAAACAAGAGAGAAAGTGCTGTTAATAGTGAAACCTTATTGCTAGGTTCCCGTACTTGATTTAGTCGTAGTCATAAATGTGAGGGGGCATGAAAACTTTCATAGAACTTAAAGATAATGGAATCTCTCCAGGAAC